GAGAGTTTTAATTGGCCAACTGACACAATAGTACCCACGCAAGTATTGAAAAAGGGCAGCAAACTTGTTGCTCGTTATGGACAGATGAATTATTCAAGTGGAAGATTTGCTTTTGTGATGCAACCGGACGGAAATCTTGTAGCTTTAACCACAAGGTTCCCACTGAATTCACCGTACCAGTCTTACTGGGAAACCAAAACTGCAGGCAATGGCTTCCAGGTTATCTTTAACCAGTCTGGCTACATCTACATAGAAGCTGAAAATGGAAGCATACTCAGCTACCTAGCATCGAACGGATCTTCATCTAGGGACTATTACCAACGAGCAATCCTTGAATATGATGGGGTCTTCAGATATTATGTCTATCCAAAGAACAAGAGCGTCACTGCTGGAAGGTCCATGGGCTGGTCCTTTCTGTCCTACGTACCAGAAAATATTTGCACAAGCAAGCTACTATATTCTGGTGGTGCGGCTTGTGGGTACAACAGCTACTGTATTCTAGGAAATGATCAAAGACCTAAATGCCTGTGCCCACCTAGATACTCATACTCAGATCCATATAATGACACGAATGGATGTAAACCGGATTTTGTCTCACAAGAGTGTGATGGTCCTAGAGGCCAAGATGCAGATCTTTTTGGTATCGAGGCTATGAGCAATATAGATTGGCCTTGGTCAGATTACGAATATTTTTATTCGGTTACTGAGGATTGGTGCAGAAATTCCTGCTTAGCTGATTGCTATTGTGCTGCTGCATTCTCTCAAAATGATACATATTGTTGGAAGAAGAAATTTCCTCTCAGGAATGGAAGATTTGATACTGGTCTTGGAGGAAAGTCACTGGTCAAAATAAGGATAGGCAATTCTACATCAACATCTACTACTGAGGGTTCAGGCAAGGGTTCAAAGGAGAAGCATAAGTCAACTCTGATTCTTGTTCTGGCTATGCTCTTAGGTTTCTCAGCATTTTTTATCTTTGTTCTGTTGATTGCAACTCTGTGGTTTGTTTCCGTCTTAAGATGCAGGAAAACAAGCATGCTTCAACCTTCCAGAGCAACCCAAGGCATGAGTCTACAAAGCTTCACCTATAAGGAGCTTGAGGAAGCTACGAATAAATTTGAGGAAGAACTTGGAAAGGGTGCTTGTTCAACAGTTTACAAAGGCATTCTAGATATTGGTAATAAGACTTTCATTGCCGTTAAAAGATTGGACAAGATGGAGAAAGACCGCAATGAGAAGGAATTTCAAGCAGAAATGAGTGCCATTGGGAAGACAAACCACAAGAATCTCGTGCGGCTACTAGGATTCTGCAATGAGGGACAACATCGGCTTTTGGTGTATGAATACATGAGCAATGGATCTTTAGCATCTTATCTTTTTGGGAATCCAAGGCCCAGTTGGTATAGAAGAACTGAAATTGCTTTTGGAACTGCAAGAGGGGTTGCTTATTTGCATGAAGAATGTAGCAACCAGATAATACACTGCAACATTAAGCCTCAAAATATCCTGCTAGATGACTCCTTGACAGCAAGAATTTCAGACTTTGGATTATCAAAACTTTTGAAGACAGACCAGACACGAACTGTTACAGAAGTAAGGGGAACAAGAGGATATGTTGCCCCTGAATGGTTGATTGGAAAGAAGCCTGTAACGGTCAAGGTTGATGTTTACAGCTTTGGAATTCTGCTGCTAGAGCTCATTTGTTGTAGAAGGAAAGTTGAGCAAGATTTAGAGGATGAAAAACAAAGGGTATTGGCTGATGGGGCATATGATTGCTATGAAGAAGGGGAACTATATCTGCTAGTTCAGGAGGACGAAGAGGCAATGGAGGACATTAAGAGGGTAGAGAAGTTTGTAATGATTGCCAGCTGGTGCATTCAAGATGACCCATCACTGAGACCCACTGTGAAGACAGTGTCACAGATGCTTGAAGGAACCATTGAAGTTCCTCATCCTCCAGTCAATCCCCACTCATCAGTTTAATTTATACCCACCAAAGCCCCATGATCTGTTAATATTGAAGAAGTGTACTCAATATTGTTGGCCTTTCGGATTCATGGGGTGATCTCTGTTTATCTTGTGAGGCTTCTTCTAGATACTTTAGTTACAGGTTAGGGGGAGAAATGTGTGAAGGGCTGTGTTTCACCTAAATTATTTAAATGCCCATAATTTTATTTTTATATTACTTTTTCAAGGACTTTTAAATGATTTTATAGGACGGATTGCATATAATCTGTTTTATAAAATAGACTTACTCTTGATCATTCTAAACTTACTAAGTTTCTTTGTTCGAATTGAATAGTTACTCAAGTTTATTACAAATTCTAACTAATCTATCTCTATAAAGTATTTTTGGAGTCATCATATTTTATTAGAATTTGTTGTACCTATGATTTTGATGATTACAAAACACATTTGAGTGACTAATTAGTTCATTTAAGTGTGTAGTTAAATTGCCAAAAGACTACAAAGTAAGTAAAATAAGATTGCACTAAAAAGGACCAAAAAGGCTGAAAATGTGCAGAGACCCAACTTAAAGAATTTACAGCTAGATGTGGGAGGCAAAAATGCAGAGAGTCGGCTACAGATCTTAAAGCCGACTCTACGGGTGAAAGTTTCAAGTTTGTTGTTTGACGTGCGCAAAAAACAGATGAAAAGCCAACTCTGATTTTGCAGCCGGCTATGATGGCGCATTAAATGCACAATGGTCAAGTTATTTGAAGATTTCTTTAATATTTTAAAGTCGGATTTCCAAAGCCGATATAATATCCCAAAATTTTCTAAGACCTTAGAATTTAAGTTAAGGGCTTTTGTGATAGAAATTATTATTTTTGGGCCTAATAGCTAAAATTCACAAACATAAGGGGGTTAAAAGTGAAATCTAGTATTTAAAAGGGGCTGAGGCTGTTTTCTTTTTTTCCAACCCATTTCTGCATTGTCTTCCCCAACCCCCACCCGAAACTTGCCTCCCCAAACCCTTGCCTGCGCCTAGCACATTCTTGTCGAAAAAACAAGGTGAGATTTAGTTCTTCTTCTTCCTTCCAAGTTTGATTTAGAGATTTATGAGCTTATGATTTTTAAAATCATGATAAAAACCCAGATCTTAGCTGTTAGTATCCTTCCATTTTCTAGTCCATGTTGGGTCTAAGGAGAGGCTACCATTTTTCCAGCACTTCCGGTAAGAAATTTGACATATTGCTCACCTTTTCATCTTTAATTTGAAGTGGGTTATCTTTAATCATCTAGGGATTTCAATTTTGGGAGTGTTTCTATAGTTTTCCCTTTGATTTTGCCCGTAATCCAGCATCATTAGCTCTGATCCCTCTTTTTGCTGCCAATTCGAATTGCATGACCTTGCAGTGGTATTTTTCTCATAACTCCTTCTGTAGTTATCGAATTAAGTCCATTTTTAATTTTATAGAAAACTAAGAGATAGCCCTACAACTTCTATGTTGAACATTTAACCTAGTTAGGTTGTTTTCATGGTGAAAAATCTCTTTCCAGTTTGATTCCTGCAGGCGGACTTAATTGGGAGCCCAACCCTATGTTAGTATTTTAGCCATAACTCTCTTTGTAGATATCAGATTAAGGTTATTCTTGAGGCTATAAAACACTAAGACATAGGGCTACAATTTATTTGTTGACCACTTAACCCAAATAAGTCAATTTCTAGGTGTAAATTCTATCAAAAATTCCAGCACAAAATCTTACCAGAACTTGACAGAAATTTGCTCTCTTTTCTATTTTATCCCCACTTTATCTGCTGCTACATTGCATCATAGTTTTAGTAGACTTTTAGGTGCTGCTTTTTTGCTCTAAAATCCCTTGTTATTGGTTTACTTTGGCTGGTATTTTTGCTGCTTAAATGTTGTCCATTTTTGCACAATTCTAGCTTGTGTTCTA